AATGAAGAAAGTTTGATAGTGAATTGTGGGTTGAGTTGTGTGGGAGTGAAGAAACGTGTGGAATGGTGGTGTGATCAATGATTGGAGATGGTAACGGTAAACAAGGAAAGGAAATCCCTAAAATTGGGTAACTGAAAATTTTAGTTTTTTAAAAAAGGAAGTAAAATAAAATTAATGATCTATTATTAATTAATAATAAAAAAAACTATAAATAGATTAATAATTTATTAAATAAATATAATTTAGTTTTTAAAATAAAATTAAATTTAACTGATATGTCATAGCCCGTAAATAATTTGTTATAAGCAAAAAAATTTTAAAAATAAATTTAAAACCCGTAATATTTACTTATTTTTCCATAAATTAATAGTTTGCTATACATAAATTTGGAGTACTTGAAAAGTAAATAATCACAAGAAACAAAACAGAAATATGATTTTACTAACTTCTTAACACAAACCAAAACACACAAAATACAAAATACAACCAAATTCAAAAGTTACACAAAACACATAGCCAAAAAGAAAGAAAGAAAGATATGCATTCATCATTCATAATCTATTTTTAGTACTTCACTTTCACATTTTTCCCAGTTGAATCCTTAGCTTCAACTTGAGCAATACTCCCTTCAACATCCATTCTCCCAACGTCGTTGAACGTCTGGCCGGTCATCTGATCGGCCTGTTTCAACGTCGTTGCAGTCTTACCTGCCCGAGTATCGTCCACATCCACCACGATCTTCGATCCTCCTCTAGTAGTTGTCTCATCGGTGGTGTGTTTCGGTGCTAATATGCTTCCAAGCGCACCGAAAATACCACCGGTAGCAACTTTTCTATCCTGATCATCGTCACCTTCGTGCATTTTCATTTCCTCCATTTTTCTTCTTGTTGCTTCTTCACTCTCATGATACTTTTCCTGCAATTGAGACTATTAACCATTCATCTTTTTTATCCAAGACGATAAAATATATAGATAGCCAATGGGTTCACATTTCGCAATCGCAAATCAGAGACGAAGCCAAAATTAAGAGTTTGAGTTCTAAATTTCGTTATTTCTGTCAATCAATTTTGTCAGGATTTACAAATTAATATACATATATATTTAATTAATTTTTTAGTACAAATATAGAATATACAGAAAAGCTACCCACATAGAGGCAGAATATTGCTATTAATCATGACTTGAAAATAAGACAAGATCGATTACTCAAAATTTGTTGCAACATATTATTAATGGCATCCAAAAAATCTACAACAAAGTGCCATGTATTATTTGATTCTTATTCTAAATTTTTATAAGAAAACTAAGTAAGACGGCTATAAACGGCTAACCTTAGCAGCTCCCGCCGTCTCATCCGCCTTATGCTTAGCCGCTCCCTCCGTTTCACTTGCCTTTTGTTTAGCCGCTCCTGCCGTCTCATCAGCTTTCTGTTTCGCCGCTTCAGCCGTTTCCTCCACCTTCTGCTGAGCTTCCTCCTTTTTACCCGTAAGCATATCCATCGCCCGCCTCGCGGCGTCAGCCGCACTATCCTTCAGCTCAGCCAATTTCCCTATCGTAGTATCTTTCCCTTCTTTTGCCTTTTCAGCCGTATAATCCTTATACTCTCCGGTTTTCTGCATCGTCACATCCTTAGCTTCCTTAGCTTTATCCTCTGCATACTTCTCGTACTCTGTTGCTTTACGAGTTGCACTCTCTTTTGCTTCTTTGGCCTTATCTACTGTTGTATCCTTTGCCTCCTTCGCCTTCTCCGCTGCATAATCCTTCGTTTGCTTCGCCTTGTCTGCAGCGGAATCTGTATACTCCCCTGCTTTATTTTTAACTTGTTGTGCTTTATCTGAAACAGATGCTTTAGTGGCCTTACCCTTATCCTCAGCATAATCAGCATACTCTCCCATTTTATCAGCTGCAGCGTCTTTAGACCGTCTTGCATTTTCCGCCGCTATATCAGAGGTGTCAGTGGCGACTTCGGCGGTTTCGTGGGCTTTTCCAGTGACGGCGTCTTTAGCATGACCAAGTGTACCTTGAACGGATTTGATTATACTGCCAATAACACCGGGTTTCTGTTGTTCAACATCTCTTTGACTTTCATCCCTTCGTTCTTTATTCACATCACTAAGTTCATTTGCTGCTATTTTTGCAGCTGCTTCTGCTCTTTCTTCTTTCACTGCTTGCCTCGACTCCATTTTTTTTTCTAATTACAAAACACTGATAATATCTCTTAATATTTTACTCTTTTTTTTTTTTTTTTTTTTGCACTTTTGGGATTTAAGGAGTGTGATGAATGGGAAGGAATTGGGGTATGGTATTTATGTTGAGGTGGTTAAGAAAATTGGATTGGACACGTGGAGGAAAGGAGAGTTATGAAGTGACACGTGGATGGTGTTGTGGGTGTTTGACACGTAGCATTTGAGAGGTGTACTTGTAATGTGTTAAGGATAAAGCTTAATATGTAGGAAATGGTTCATGATTCGAGGTGGGTGGATAAGAGTAGAAGTTTCTAGCTTACCGTCAATGCGTGAGCGCGGAGTTAGACAGAATCGAGGGGATTATTAAAAAAAAAAATTACACTATTTTTGATCTTGATAAAAATTCTTAACTTTGTTATTTATGTTAGACTATTTTATTATAAAGTTACAAATTCATATTAATTATTAATTACAAATGCTACAAATATACTCCACGTCAAAAATATTGAATTCGACTAAATTTGATTTTACATCAGCCTCTAATTGTATTGGGTTATACAAAAGATGGATCCAGTGGCTTGAGGGCTAGCTGGCCTGAAAATGTTTGTAAATAGGTCCAATAACAAGATAAGAAGCCCATGAGTCATGACAGATTGGGTTGGAGGGAGTATGCGATTGAAGTTAAATATTTACAATAGATAGATGTAGGGAGTATGCGATTGAAGTTAAATATTTGCGATTGAAGTGAATACTAAATTTTGAATATTTTTGTCTAAAATTTGATATGATTTGCTAAGATCTACTTTTGACATTTTAAACTAGAGTTTAGTCTGACTTGTGTTACTTTTGGGTTATCGGTACTCATTTGAATTTGCTAATGACATCTTTATTTTCTATCTTAGTTAACGAACACACGTTGATTTGATATTATTCGTTTTGAGTTACTCATTGAATATTGATGATAATTAAATTATGGTATATGAATAAGCAGCGGGTAATCTCTACATTAAATCGATTCACTCGATATAAGTTGGACAGACGTGAATTACTGTATCATGTCTCATCTTATTTTAGATGTGTAATGAACTTCAAACATTTATGCTTAAGCTCTAAATATTTGCACATGAATTTTTTAAATCAGATGTTTATTGTTATAATTTTTAAATCTAAAACTTTAGTACATACCTATAAAATATTATTTAAATTTTCCTTACGTGGATTTAATTTTTTTCTGCTATAATTAGTGTGCTCACTAAGTATGAAATATGCCTAAACCTCACAATTTAGTGGCACTCACTTGATTGTATAAACCTACTAGTTTGCATTCACTCTTGCCACATTTTACCTATGCCCATATATTGCCTTTTCTCTAAGTTCTTGTTTTGTTTAAGGAGTGTCAAATCTGGTGAGTTAAAATGATCTAAATGATAAAGAGCGATCCAACGATTCGTTAAAAAGCTATTTATATTGAAATGAACTAACAAACAAAAAATATCTATTTTAAGAAATATATTTATAATTTAAGTTTAATTGCGTCTCGACTCTCGATGAGTTGAATTGGACGGATCAAAATAATTGGGCATGTCATTGACATGCCCAATCTTGATTGGGTTAGAGATGTCAATTTTTTCATGGGCTACTTTGGCCATTGATTTGTCTCTTTCACATGTTAACCCAATTGAAGAAAATAGTGAAGTACTTAACAAATTACAAATTAACATAAATTTAGGAAATGTGAAGTACTTAACAAATTACAAATTAACATAAATTTAGGAAATACAAAACATCTTAATTAAAGAAGAAAAAAAAAAAGCAACTTCATCAAGTATTTGAATTGTGATATCTCCCATTTAGATATTCCAATTCAAATTCTTGATCAACACACAAGTAATAAGCATAAAGAAATAATCATAAGTTACAAACACTCATATGATTTGAACCGCGCTTGGTGAAGTAAGTGTACCCGGGCTAAAAAGAATAGAAGAACACCATGCAAAAGAAGCAGGCGATAGAGGAAAATTAGCCAAGGGACTACACGATCCAAAATAATTTTCTGATGGGATCCGAGGCGTTACATGTGATCTTTCTTGTGCTTCAAATGTTGTTGAATCAACACACACCTCAAATTGGTCGTTTGTAGAAGAAGAAGGAAGAAGGAACTCGCGCCATTGTGCAAGAACATCATTATTATTGTTGTTGTTACTTCTTTGTAATGAAACTGGTGAGAGATCAAGTGGAGGAGGAGCAATATCCTGTAAACGCCTCTAATTAAAAGAACTAGAGCTAGAGCCAGAGCCAAAACCAGAACCAGAATCAGAACGAGAGATAGAATCATTAGAGACAGATTGAAACTCGGGAGATGAAGTGAGCATTTGGACAACATCCTTGAAATCATTAGGTTCAACTCTATATATTTATAATTTAAATTTAATTGCATCTCGACTCTGGATGAATTGAATTGGACGGATCAAAATAATTGAGCATGTCATTGACATTCCCAAACTTGATTGGGTTAGAGATGTCAATTTTTTCATGGGCTACTTTGGCAACCCTTAATTTGTCTCTTTCACATGTTAACCCAATTGAAGAAAATAGTGAAGTATTTAACAAATTACAAATTAACATAAATTTAGGAAATGTGAAGTACTTAACAAATTACAAATTAACATAAATTTAGGAAATACAAAACATCTTAAAGAAAGAAAAAAAAAAAAACAACTTCATCAAGTATTTGAATTGTGATATCTCCCATTTAGATATTCCAATTCAAATTCTTGATCAACCCACAAGTAATAAACATCAAGAAATAAACACTCATATGATTTGAACCGCGCTTGGTGAAGTAAGTGTACCCGGGCTAAAAAGAATAGAAGAACACCATGCAAAAGAAGCAGGTGATAGAGGAAAATTAGCCAAGGGACTACACGATCCAAAATAATTTTCTGATGGGATCCGAGGCGTTACATGCGATCTTTCTTGTGCTTCAAACATTGTTGAATCAACACACACCTCAAATTGGTCGTTTGTAGAAGAAGAAGGAAGAAGGAACTCGCGCCATTGTGCAAGAACATCATCATTATTATTGTTGTTGTTGTTACTTCTTTGTAATGAAACTGGTGAGAGATCAAGTGGAGGAGGAGCAATATCCTGTAAACGCCTCGAATTAAATGAACTAGAGCCAGAGCCAGAGCCAGAATCAAAACGAGAGATAGAATCATTGGAGACAGATTGAAACTCGGGAGATGAAGTGAGCATTTGGACAACATCCTTGAAATCATTAGGTTCAACTCTATATATTTTAGGAGGTGTTGGTGGCAAAGGTGCAATTGGTAGTTTAGTCATTGGTTTTAATGGGAGCCTTCTAACTCCATGAAGTGAGGAATGATATGAGGCTAATTTTTTATTTTTCTTTTGTTCTTGTTGTGGATATGTTGAAGAGGAATTATTAAAAGAAGAAAAAGAAGAAATAGCATATGAATAAGAATCCATTTTTTTTTTGTTTTCTATATTGCAAGTTTGTCTTATAACATGAAATAGTACTTGGATAATTGTTTGCTTCTATATATAGAGAGAAAGGTGACAAACTTGAGCAACTTGTCTTAAAATGATATTTCCTCTATCTAAATTTATGCGATACATTTTTTTTATTAATGTGATTACATAAAAATGATATATTTTTATTTTTACTACTAATAATTAAGCTTTAAACTTTCAATTTGATGTTAATTAATGAAATAATCTATAATCAAATAGATCAATAAATTTTATTTTAGATCACAAATTTTAAATTTTTTATTTTTTTTCTTAAATTCCGTGCCAAAATAAAATTTGTTTTTAGCGTCGGCTATGGATGAATATGATGTAACATTACAACTTGCAAAATGTCTAAGTGTCTAGTCTATAAAAAAAACTGTTCATTATATTTGACCTATATTATAATATTGCCTCCATTCTTGTTTAATTCTTCTGTTAATATATCTGTACTACTAAGTCACTAATTGTTAATTCAACATTTATTATTTTTATGTGCATTAATTATTATTATTTTCCGCCAATATGTGGGAGGTGTTTACTGATTGTAGTGTTAGTGTTTTCTCTTTTCTTTTTGGTAATAAGTGAAATTAATAACATGAAATAAGACAAGTAATATGTTGTAAGATTTTAAAATACATTTGTAGTGTATGCAATCTTTACAATATCATATTATCAATTCTTCTACTCGTACTACCTTACATATATAGTTCAAAATCAACCTAAGATTATATATTTTTATGTGCTAATTTTTTAATCATATAGTTTGTTAATGTTGATGGTACTATATAGTTTGAATATGATATGGTACAAACTACAAAGAACCTCAAAACACATCATTAAAATGAACTACTATTAAAAAAATACTCTATTTTTACCTATTAAAAAAATGTTTAGTAACTCTTTTCATAAATATATATTTTGATTGAATCAGTAAAAAAAAAAAGAAGAAATTATGAAAAAAACTTAAGAAGTTTCCCACTATTTTTATGAAAATATATTTTTCACTATACGATTTTTAAGTGAACCGATTTGATGAAAAATTAAATAAAAAATTATATTTTATAGCATAAATAACTCAGGAATTCACGATTTTTATGATTGCTTCTGCACTACTTGTATTGATCATAGTTCAAAATTGGAAATAGCCAAAATAGGAAATCAACCTGTTGACTAATTCAAACACAGTCATTTTCCCTTGACCAAAGACTAAAGAGATTGCTTAATTAATTAAATTATTGTTCGTGTTGCGTCTCATGAATATCTGCATAGGAGGAGGTTCATTCCATCTGAAAAATAGCGACTGTGAATTTATTGAGGAATATTATAAAAATAGTATTTATATTAATTATGATTTCTTCACATATACTAAAGTGTTTCAATTTTAGATTATTTGTGATGCATAGTAACTTTCATTAGAAGAGGAGTAAGGTAGGGTTCATGGTTCAGACGAATTCACTAGTTTTTTGTAGATTCTATATTTGTATTAGAAAATTAAATAAATATATGTATATTATTATGTGAACCCTCAAACAAAATTAACTTAGAACCCCCAAACTTTCAACTTTGGCTTCGCCTCTGACGTAGGGTGTGGTTTTAGTGAAGATGCATAGGATGTACATTTAATGTAAACTAAAATATAATATATATTTATTGGTTTGATTATTGTTATTTTCGTTTCGATTATTAAGTATCCACAAATATTTTTTTTAAATCATTCAAAAGATGAAAAAAAGACAACGATTCATTCAAAACGACTAACATTACAAAACTTTCGTTATTATTATTATTTAGCATCGACTATAGATGAATGCGATGTAACATTACAACTTGCCACGTCTATCTAAAATATATTTGACCTGGACTATAAATTTGCCTCTATTATTGTTAAATAATTCTTACATAACACAAGATAGTAATGATCGATATTTAATTTGGTTCAATTTTTTATTAAAAGAAATTTAAATTAATTAAGTCTATTTATTTTTTGTTTAATTAGAAAATAAATTTTATTTATACAATTGATTGAACATATCAAAACACATCGTCGAATTGATAAAATTTAAATATTAAATCCGTCTCGATCTTTAGCTGACGGCTAAACATATCAGCAATCACTTTCATGCATTCAATTTTGTAATGTTTCAGATATACTTAATTATTAGTTTAAGTTTTTAGTTGTACAATAATAAATCTATGGTTGTATGACTTCTAAATTATGAACATATATTATAATTATATATTGCCAATGGGACAAAGTCTAAAAATATTCAAACTTGAATTTAGCTATTCAAACAAATTAAAGAACAATATTAATGACTTAGGTAAGCTTGAAATCCTCAAATCCTTTCAAGATCTTGTTAAATATTATTTTATGTTAATTATGATACTGACGTCCATTAAAAATGTGTTGATAATTCTATTTAGTAATGAAGTAACGATAAATTATCGAAATGTTATCTTAGCAAGAGGGTATTTAATACTTCCTCTGTCCACTTTTAATTGTCATGTTGCACTTTTCGAAAGTCAATTTGACTAATTTTCAAAGTTAAATTAGATTACATTAATTTGATATTTTAAACAAAAAAAAAATTAGATATTCAAAATCTATACGAAAAGTACTATAAATTTCAATTTTTTGCATATCAATATGATGAAAACATATATCGTAAAATGTTAGTCAAAGTTCTTATCGTTTGACTCTAAAAAAGGAAACTATGACAATTAAAAGTGGATGGAGACAATAACAAATTAGCGACATATGTATAATTATATTTTTTAGTAGGACATTACTTGAAAAGTAAAAAATAATTTTCTATAAACATATAGCTAGAACAAATAAATAAAAAATAAATTTATTATGTTAAATGAGTGATAGTAAAACTAGTCAAATTTATAGGTAGACATTAATATAGATAGTAATGAACTGGTTGATTATTATTTTTTAATTCTTAATGAGAAAATTTAAATTTGAGTTTTTAAAAATAGGAAAAAATCAATTAGAAGTGCCGCTCCTAAAAAAATCTTGTAATGTACTTAATAAGTTTATTTGAACACTATTATAAATATCAAACACCGAACGAAAAAATATAATCAACTAGGCGGCTAGTTTTGTCGGTTTATCACGTAACTAAATTTGTTTTCAAGCTAAACTTGAATTTATTGTACAAAATAAATCGTGGGGCACACGTGAACTGATGTTCACAATTTCTTTTAGCTCATATATATATATATTTTATTATTTTTTAATATTTTTTTTATGACCAATATATTAAACTTAAATTTATCCCTATTCAATATTTATATTATACGATTTCATAACAACTCGATAACTTTTTATATTATTTGAAAGGAGTTTTTAGAGTAAATGGCTAAAAATATTCCTTAACTATACCTCAAACTCAGACTATATCCTTTTATCATTACATTGAACAAAACGCCTTCTTAAACTATCTAAAAAAACCGCAAGTTACATCCTTCTGTTAACTTTCTATCAAGAAACTAACCACTTTTAAGTAGAAGCACACAACTTTTCGATAAAGGCAAACAATTTTGCCCACTCACTGATCTTCTCTATCAAGTAGTAAACTAGTAATCATATTAAAAGGTATTATATGACTAGCATTATTGTAGGAATATTAATTAATTAAGGCCTAAAGATTTATAACTTGGGATTTGTTCAACTTTAGTTTGTCCTTTTTTTATTTTATTTTACTGAGCTTGTTATTATGTTGTTAGTGTTTCTATCAAGAATCTTATTGATCTCATAGTATTCCAAGTTTGCTTTATTTTCTCATTTTCTAATTGGTATGTTACTCCTCCAACAACTTTCATCAAATTTCCTATACTCTCAACTAATTAAATGAAAACTTTAAACATAAAAATCAGATGTAAACCTTGCAGATTTGTTTTTGGACATAAAAAAAATATTATGTGATACTAAAATAGAAGGATTTGAACTCTTAGTATGTGTTTTGGTGCTGGGAAAAATAATTTTTAAAAATATATTTTCAATTTTTCATAATTAATTGGCCAAAGTTTTTGAAAAATATTTTATCTAAGAAAACAAGTTCTTAAAATTTTTTTAAAAAATGACTTGTCTAATTGACGTAGGGAAAAAAGCTCCACATTTCAAATTCATTCACAAATCCGTTTAGCAAAGACAATGTTTGTTCTATGTTTAAGAAGACGGTGAGGGGACAAAATCTCTTTTCATTAGGAGATGGTCGTTAGATTTTTGACAGAAAATTAAGGAGTGATGTAAATTGTAACTTTCAAAATAGTTCAGGGATGTTTTTTGTTCACAATAATAATATAAGGATGTAGTTTGAATTTGAGGTATACTTAAAGGATGTTTTTGGCCATTTACTCTATTTGAAAGAGTTTGAACATCTAATTCAAGCATTTATAATATTGCCAAGACCTTAATAAATATTTTCATAATGGTGTAACAATATTTGCACAATTATGTCATTTGTTAATTAAGGAACTACATGTAACTAAATTTCTTGATTAATATTAATTGGTAATAGGATAAAAATAACTATCGATCTATCATAAATAAATAAATTATTGATAGTGTGATTCTTTTTCTGCATAGATAATCAGTATATATAACATAAATTTTCGCAAAATAGTCACATTTGGATGCTAATATGGCACATGATATGATATAACTTGATCTAACATCGTCTTTGTCCCAAAGTTAATTAATTATCAAGAAATGGACCATCATGTCCTCAATATTTTTTTATATAAATAATTATGGTAGATAAGATTAATCTACCATTATTAATCTGGTATTTAATATTATTCGTTAGTCAAAGTAGAGACCTTCACTATCAAATTAATTACTTCAATTTTTTTAATAAATTAAACCAAAATACTTCCAGAATATTTCATAACAATTGAACAAGAAAACTTTTTCTTTAAATTGAATCAGCCGCAAAATATCATATATATTCCAAAGTGCTAATTATGAGGTTTTATTGAGCTTGAACATTTTTGTTAGAAATTTGACATTATACTTCGAGAAGTATTAAATTTCTCTTTTCATTTTAAATTCACAAAAGTTGTTAATAATTAGAATCGATTCATTAATCAGGTAAAGGAAGAAGGGGCCTAGACACGACATAAGATACTAATATGCTTGAGTGTTAAATTAGTGAAAGTAAGAACTTATTCTTTGGGGGACGTTAGATTATAAGAATATATAAGAGGATTATAATTTAATTTCAAGATAAAATTTGAAGTTAATTTATTTTATATTTGATAAAAAAAAAATTTAAAATAATCTTGAAAGAGTAATAATGTCTTATATTGATTATATTCTATACGTCTGGTTTCAGATGTCTTTATATATACTCTGCGTGCATATGTACATATGTAAATCTTTTTAATTTCTTCTTATATTTATTCTTTTTTCGTAAAAATTCTGACTCCGTATAATTATATGAAATCATCTGAAAGGTTTGTTCCTTAAAATGATTGGAGCAAAGAGTCTAGAGACTGATACTGAAAGTTTCTATTTTGACTAAAATAAAAATATTTTGAGAACAAACATGAACCACATTAAATGCTATCATTATCTAGCCCTGCCAAAAGGCAATAAATATTTGGATGTACTATATGGTCTATTTCTTGATAATCAAATTTGAGACAAAAATTATATATGTTACATAAATCAATTTATATAATGTCCTATTGAAGCATCGATAATATCCAAAGTGAAAATTTGCATTTTATTATTTATCGTGAAGAGATTATAAATAAATTTATAGCCTAATTCTAAGTGCCCATTTGGATTAACTTTAGACATCATGGATTCGATTAGCTTTTAATTTCTATTCCTTCTATCTCAATTTATGTTGCACTTTTTGAATTTCGAGATCCAAACAATTTTTTCATATAATTTTTAAATATTTTGAATTGTTAATTATTGTGACTTATAATACTTTTTACGTAGTTTATAAATATATAAATTTCATTTCAAAAAATTTAAAGATTCCATGCGCAAATTTCCTGTCGAACTTAAACTGTTTGATTTTTGAAAAATGAAAAGTGTAAATTGTGATAAATTGGGACAGGGGAGTATATGTATATCACATTTTGATACGTCCAAATGTCAAACTCAATTTTTGGTTCATACCATTAAAAAAAAGGAAAACTTACATAAATATATTATATTAAAAAAAATATAACTTTAATATTAAGAGTATACACTAAAAAATATTTATCAAATTTCATCTTAATTACGATGATAATGATCTTGTAATAGTAATTTTTTAAATTGAAGTGACTGTTAATTTGAGTAAGAAATTGTGAACAATATGAGTTCTCACGTGTGCACATGTGATTTTTTTTTTTTTATATTAAACTCAAGCTAATTATTTTGAAAAAGATTAAATTATGTAATAAAACGACAAAATTACCAGCCGCCTAGCTAGAGGCTAGATTTGATTAGTCACTCAATTAGCACTGAGCAAAAAGATTAAATAATTAAAATGTGTAACTGAATACTGATATATTTTCACATAAAAATACTCCCTCCGTTCCATTTTATGTGAGGTACTTTGATTCGGCACGGAGTTTAAGAAAAACAATGAAGACTTTTAAAACTTGTGGTCCAAAATGAATGATAGAAATTTGTGTGACTATAAATTATTTCATTAAGGGTAAAATAAACATTTTATAATCAAATGGTTACTTAATATAGAAATGTGTCATTTTTTTTGGGACTGACTAAAAAGAAAAATAAGTCACATAAATTGGGACAGAGAGAGTAACATTTAACAAGATATCTTTGAAATTTATCTATTAAAAAAATAAAATTAGCGTCAGATAAATTTTGTACTTAAATAACAAAATTTCCCATTAATTCTAAATTTTATTAGCTATGACCGATGAGCAATTTTTCTAACATATTGCTCTTTGTTTAAATAATTTTAATTAAGTTTGAAAATTGCAAGACTTGGTCCCATTTGCTATATCATAACTATATACTTCCTCTGTCCACTTTTAATTGTCATGTTACATTTTCGAAAGTCAATTTGATTAATTTTCAAATTAAGTTAAATTAGATTACATTAATTTGATATTTTAAACAAAAAATTTAAAATATTTAAAAACTATACGAAAATTATTGTAAATTGCAATTTTTTGTATATCAATACGATGAAAAAACATATCGTAAAATATTAGTCAAAATTCTTATAGTTTGACTCTAAAAAAAGGTAACATGACAATTAAAAGTGAACGAAGAGAGTACTACATAACGTTGAAGTCATAGAAGCATAGACTTGAAGATCATTAAATACTTCTACAACTAGAAACTTAAAAATTTAATGCATGAGTTGAAGGTAAATATTTGGCTGACTTTGATTAATAGGTTCTAACATTTTCAAATGTGAAAAGTCATAAATATTTAATAAAATAAATACAAGGTTATGGATCAATAATTTTAAAAAGTATAATAAGTTTATTAGTGTTCAAAATCATAAAAGTTAAATTCATCGAATTTAAATTCCAGATTGGCCTCGAAACTCAGAGACATTTAGTTGCATTATTCGAAGAGTTGGAAGTATTATATATGTGAGTTCGACAGAAATCATTAGTTTTAGAATATCCACATTCGAAGCATTGAATTTAGTGAAGTCTCACAGATAAAGTATAAGAGTGATAATAGAATATACACAAATCTTATTTTTATCTTTTAGAGATAAGAAAAAATTGTTTTGTTTACCTCCTATTTAAATAATACATATCGAAAATATATGACAATATCGCAATCAAATATAAAAGTTGTTTATTTCCAAATAATAATAGTGTAATTATTTATGGGATGGTCACATAAACAATATATAATTGTAAGCAATCTCTTCTGTCTTTGTCATAGAATTAAATTTTCTTATTAGTCAATAAGTTGAATCTTTATATTGGCTGTTTCTACTCAAAACTTTAGCATATAGTATAAGTACAAATAGTTATCCAATAAAATTTATTTTAAATAAATTAATTAAATTATATATATGAAGGTTCATTGTACCTTATCATAAAATTCAAATATATACAGTTAACGTCAACAAATTGATTTTAGACCTATTGATCGACTATGTACATGAATATGTTGCTTTCCAAAAAATATTCTAAAAGTATTCAATAAGTTTCACTTCTAAAGCTCGAACTTTAAATATTGTGCTGAACTTTCAATCCGCAGTCCTGAAATTGTTTTTTATACATCAAATCTTGGTTAAGACCTTAGTTAAAATATCAAATTTGTATCAAGAAGTTAATTTCATCCCAAAACAGAATTTTGAATTTCTCAAGAACTTAAGCAAACATCGAATCATAATTTCAACCATCAAATGAGAAATAATTTCCGAATTTAATTAGATTTGCCCAAATTATACCTAGCGCCACTAAGCAATCGGCTACTTCCACTCGTAAGCACCCCCCACCTAATTGCGGATAACATAAAAAGTTTTTATGTCAATAAGATCTTACACTATGATTCATATATATTTTTTTCTTATGAAATTTTTAAATAAATGAATATTGCTCTGTTGTATGACACAATGATTAATCTTCCCCTCTTATGAAAGCAACATATTATCAGATAACAAAGTTGATTCTGCCTCAGAACTCTCCGCACCCTCTTAAGGGATGCCAACTATGAGCAAGGAACCCCAACGATCATAACTTAGACATTTCTGACTTACGTCAAACTAGATTGTCTTAGTTTTATTTGCCCTAATTCTAATAAATACGAAATCATGTAATTATTCAGATTCTTAATGTCTTTATTATCTTATACATATAATAACTTATCATGTCAGTCCCCTTCCTACTCCAACAACTGAAAATCATACATAAAAAATCATATCATGAATTTATAACACATTATATTATGACTTAATAATACAGAGGAATTCAAAGGGACAATATAATGTATGGAACAAATAATTAAACAAAAATAGATGAAATTTTGTAATAGAGGTCAAATAAGACAAGTAGTACACTAGAAAGACAGGACAAGTTGTAATGTGACATTATATTCAACCATAGCCGACGCATTAGACAATATTTATTCCTTCTATCTAATATTCTCGCTCAAGGCGGAGCTAGAGTTCTAGTTACAGATTCAATAAAACTCGGTAATTTTAATAAAAAACTTGTCTTAATATTAAGTAATTCACTTATAAGTATAAATATTCTATCCAAAATGAGTAAAATACTATCTTTTCTAAAATTTCTAACTTATAAACTCAAAATTCTGAAACGGAATGACTCAGTATTGAGAATTGAGATATCCTAATTTTTTAAGACAAGTTGTTGAGTCTTGTCACCTTGTGTCTCTATATATATGCAAGAGTTAAGAGCAAAAGCAACAAATGAATTTTTCTTAGTAAAATTTTAATTTCTTGTTAAATAAAATGGATTCTTATTCATATGCTATTTCTTTTTCTTCTTCCACATATCCACAACAAGAACAAAAGAAAAATAAAAAATTAGCCTCATATCATTCCTCACTTCATGGAGTTAGAAGGCTCCCATTAAAACCAATGACTAAACTACCAATTGCACCTCTGCCACCAACACCTCCTAAAATATATAGAGTTGAACCTAATAATTTCAAGGATGTTGTCCAAATGCTCACTTCATCTCCCGAGTTTCAATCTGTCTCCAATGATTCTATCTCTCGTTCTGATTCTAGCTCTGACTCTGGCTCTAGTTCTTTCAATTCGAGACGTCTACAAAATGTTGCTCCTCCTCCACTTGATCTCTCACCAGTTTCATTACAAAGAAATAATAAAAACAACAATATTGATGCACAATGGCGCGAGTGCATTGACTTAACAACGTGTGATGAACAAGAAAGCTCACATGTAACGCCTCGGATTCCATCAGAAAATTATTTTGGATTGTGTAGTCCACTAGCTAATTTTCCTCTATCGCCGTCTTCTTTTGCATGGTGTTCTTCTATTCTTCTTAGCCCTGGCACGCTTACTTCACCAAGCGCGGTTCAAATCATTTAAATGTTTTGTAACTTAAAATTATAATCCTCATGGTTTACAAAGTGAGTACTACTACATTTAATTACTTTGTATATCGATCAAGAATATGAATTGGAACTAAAAATTGAAGTTATCACAATTCAATTACCATTTAATTTCAATTCCAAAATATGATCAAATGTATTGTATTTCCAAATTTTCATTTCAATTGTATGGTTTGCATGTAATTATTTGTGGTCTCTTTGTGACTCCCTACCACACTGAGGATTTTCTCTTTATTACTATTCTACTTTTTTAAATAGTCAAATTGGTAACAAAAAGCTTAGGAAGCAAAAGTAGTACTATGTTGTATAAAATGGTTGTCAGATCAAGCTATGTATGTTGTATATTGATCGATAAAGAATTCACATGTTCAGGAAATAAGAGTTTTAAAAATGAGAATGTTAAGATATATGTGTGGGGTATTACTAGGAGAGATAGGATTAAGAACGAAGATATTCAGGATAGAGTGGAGTAGCCTTCATGTTGGACAAGACAAGGGAGACGAGATTGAATTATGGTTGGGACATGTGGTGATGAGATGAATAAATATTCTGACAAGAAGGTGTGAGATGTTAGCTATAATGGATGTGAAAAGCAGTGGCAGAGTCAGAATTTTCGTCAAAGGTGTTCATACTTTAGGACAAGTAAAAAAATAATCTTGCCGGTCAGAATATAAAGATTAGCTACAAAATAGTCATACCTCAATTATTGATCTCTATAAAAAGAATCTTTTGTTTTTTTAACTTAAAAACGTCAATTTTGCTCTTTTTTTAAGAGAAAAAATGGAACAAAAAAAGATAAAACAAAAATGCCTAAGTCTAGGTTCAAACTCAGGCCATTAAGGTGACTTTGAACAACCTTAACCATTGTGCTATCTTTCTTTATTATGTCAAGGGTATTCAACAATTAGTATACATCCAAAAATATCGATATTTAATACATATACTCATCAAAATTTTCCGACAAAGGTTGTTCATCTAACCATCCTTGCTAGGGTGTAGCTCCGCCCCTGGTGAGGAGAGGGTAGAAGTAGGCTGAAAAAGTATTAGAGTTAGGTCAGGATTAAATAAGACACGACACATCTGCTACTTAATGAAGACATGACCTCCTATCACGGAGATTGAAGATTATAATACCAAGTTAGTAGAAAATCGAAAGTTATTTAATTTTCCAAATCAATATTGTTATTAGTTAGATATACAATCCCAACAAATTCTTCCCAACTACTCATCAAGAGACTATTAATGCCCCAGCAGAAATGTAAAAAGAAAAATGATGTGTTTGAATCAACAATTAATTAAATATGCTTCTGAACAGGGGAATCAAAGAGGGATTTTTAATTAAAGATCCATTTTGATTATTGGGTCGGGTCATTTGATATTGTATTATTATCTGGGGTCCACGTGTATATGATATAAAAATCACTCTATTTTATAAAGTTAGTTATTTATAGTATAACCGAAAGAACCCTACTTAAGTTATCGTCTGAGAAATTTACTCAGTTTTCTAGTATATTATTATTATCTAGAGTGAAGTATATATGGTTTTTGATTAGTTAATCAAGTTGCAAATAGATTTATTAAACATGTTACTATATTTGTGAAACCTAATGTCCTCTTTAAAATTAGACGATTGTCTTAGTGATGCAAACATGTCTTTTTATAAAGGTCGGCCCAACTAGGCCCATTAAAAGTAGTACGATTGAAATTGCTGGGATCAACACCACTTGTGTTTAGTGTGTCAGATTAGGATTGACCCATAGGGATGGCAATGGAGCGAGTGGATGCAGAGTAGTTTGTTATGCGGGGGCGGATTAAAAAAATTGCGGGTTAAGCTCAACCCGCCCCGCCCCGCCCCATTACCATCCCTAATGACCCAGCGCACTAAACACTTACTCATACCAACTAGTAAAGAGTCCTAATTTGTTGGTTTAATTCATAATCAAATTTCTTTAGCGAAACTAAACTTTCATTTTTATTGATTCTACTTTCAAATTGAATTTAACCCATTTTTGAGCAAATATAACTATGTTAAACAAATAAAAGTGTATTTTTCCTAACAATGTTAGTCGTACAGTTTAACATGACATTAGAATGAATAGAAATATTGCATTCGAGACTCATCACAATCTTTATAAAATAAATCACGTATTTAGCTTACGAAAAATAATCAAACTACCTCATGCAAAGACATTTTAAAATACAATCAATAAATTAAGTAAATAAAATTAAAAGCTTTTTAACAACTTACACTTTTAAAATATGAGATGACTATGCGCTTTAACCATAAAAACTTTTATATAAATGTAAGATGATATAGTTTTATATATAGACCTCATTAGTATTAAGATTAAAATAAAGATGTCCCATATTCCGGGGACAGTTACATTTTATTAAATGATTATTTGTACACAATTTCCAAAAAAAATAATCAAAGGATTTAATTTCAAAAACATATATAGTAAATGATAAATGTATTTAATTGGATAATTTCAAAATATATATTCTAAGGTGCATGTCACCTCATGTGGGGCTAGTCTATCCAATTGTCCTTTGGAGAGTGGAAAGTGAAAAGTCTTGTGTGGGTGGTGCAAAAAGACATGGAAATTATCCAATTAAGTGATGCCACATCAGCAAATCCCGCGAGTAGTCAAACAAATGAGAGGTTGTTGACGAAAGAGTCAAAAGGTTGTATTTGTGATAATTCAAAAGCTATGCAAGATTCGTTTAACTTTGTTGGCTTGTTAACTTGTTTGTACTATTGTTCGTTTGCTAAATCTGTTTTTTCTGAGAAACTTGTTGTTGACGAAAGGGTCAAGAGGTTGTATTTGTGATAATCCAAAACTTGTGCAAGATTCATTTAATTTCACTTGCATTGCCACGTGTTAATATTATTCGTTTGTTGAATTTGATTTTTGACTAGCTTATTTTTTACCAAAAAGTTGTGTTTGCAATCGTAATTTAAAAATTTTCTGAATAGCTTATTGTTGACGAAAAAATCAAAAAGTTATGTATGCGGTAATTCAAAAATTGTGCAAGATTCATAACTTCATTCACTTCGCATGATAACTTGCTTGTGCTATATGGCAAACTCTACTTACTCTAAACTAGCTAATTCTGTAATCTTCTTGAAAGTCTTTGTTTCCTTAATGATTGAAGTAATTGCTAATTAGAGTATTAAGTCTAATAGTGGAAATTTTTTACATTTTGACTCAAAAGTACTTAATTTGATACATGCACCAAGCTGAATGCTGTCATTATCTCGTCGCCAGGGCAACTAATAATTAATTAAGCTCTTATATATCCCTTTTTTTAACATTGCGGTATTCGGATAATTTTGCACACCTTAATTAATTTTATGAGACACTTATCATTATTAGATAATTCTGTCCATCAAAATTAGGACATATAAAAATTTTTTACCTAATATTTAAATATGTCATAATATTGATGACGTGATAACCTATTTAAGTTCTTAATAATTAAATTTGAGACAAATTCGTAAGAATATCCAAATTTATTGAACATGTGATCTCTCAAATTAATTGGAGGTTTCTTCTGTATGTTTTTTTTAAGAGCAACTTTCACATAAAGCAAACGCAAAATTCATATTTGTATGCTATAGCAAAGTTTGCATAATTGAGCTCCATAGCAAACATAAATATGTATACTTCGTTATACATATACAAAAGAAAGCAGTTGTATAATCTTCTTTGGTATACATATACAAAAAGATCAATTGTATAAAGTGAGAGAGGCGAGTGAACGAGCGAGATCTGGGAGAGGGGAGAGGGGGGAACGAAAATATATGTATATATACAATTTTCAAGCATTTTTTACATTTACGTTTTTGTATAAAGTGAGAGAGGCGAGTGAGAGAGCGAGATCTAGGAGAGTGACGAGCGAGATCTGGGAGAGGGAGAGAGGGGAACAAAAATATATGTATATATACAATTTTCTCTCGCTTTATACAAACACAAACGCATTTTATACAATTTGCATTTTTTGTAGAAAGTGAGAGAGGCGAGTGAGAGAACGAAATATGGGAGAGTGGTGAGCATGATCTGGGAGAGGGGAGAGAGGGGAACAAAAATATATGTATATATACAATTTTCTCTCGCTTTATACAAACACAAACGCACTTTATACACTTGCGTTTGTATAAAAAACGAGGCAAGGGAGAGACGAGAGTGGCGAGCGAGATTCACTAGGAGAGAGGTGAAATAGCAACAGTTTGCTATGAGGTACAATTAAATCAAACTATATTTATAGCATTTAATTTGAATTAATAGTTTGCTATTATCTACAATTTTCCCTTTTTTTAATCAAGCTTGTCGTATATAATTTGTCTAGTATAATCCACTTTTTATGTGTGATTTATGAGCTATTATATCGAAATTAATTTTATTTTGTATGCATTAAAAAAATAGCGATTATAAATTCCTTTTATGAACATGAAAAAAAAGAATTCAGACATCAAGTTATATAATGTCTCTTATTAATTAGGCGTCCAAATGTGAATATTTTGCATTCTATTTATAGTCACATTTACACACAGAATCTTTGCATTCAAATGTGAATATTTGAATTCGATTAATATTATATAGTAATGTTTAGAAGAAAAAAAAACAAGGTAAACTTAATATTAATAAAGTAATTGAGTGAAACTTTTTAAACGTGAATAATATGATTTGATCATGGAGAAGTGTGAACTATAAGAAATACTTCCACCAATCCGTTTTAATTGTTGCGTTTATTAATAATGAAATCTTTATATTAAAAAAATTAAGATATAACTAAATATTTTGATTCCTTCGTTTCAAATTATTTGTTGTGATTTTCTAAAAATAATTATCTCAAGTTATTTGTCATTTTAAAAGTTCAAGAATTTTTTTAAAATATAGTTTTAGTAGTTGTTCTTAAAGCTAATCACAAACACCTTAACATTTAATGAAGAGAATTATATCTTAGGACATAGTAAATAACATAAAATAATCAAAAATACCTCCTAATCATTCTT